CTTACGGAGGGTTTCAACGGATGGTCAACTGCTGGCGAGGCGTTTGATAAGCACACTGCGCACCGATCGGGTGGGGGAGATCCGCATCGCTTTTTGTCACAATTTGAAGTGAGCACGCGAGAGTCAACGAAAGGTTAAGGCGACGCCTGCTTCGCCTGACCACTACAGGCTCTGGTAGTGTTTTCTCTGCTAAGTTCTCGGCCACCAGCACAGCGAAGCATCCTTGGACGAAAACAACAGCCAATGTGGCGTGGTCAACCATTCGCACTGCTGGATTGCGCTCCCAAAAAGCCGAAGCGAAGATTTCATTGGTCTTGATAGACTAAACATACAGTATACCCGAGGTAGCGAAGCTACTGGTTGAATAGGTTTAGATAACCTGTGATCCTCATGAAGTGTTCATGCTCGTCGCTCGCACTTGACCACGTGTCATAGGCCATAATCGGGTGGTGACAGCCTATGGTCCTGCTGCAGAGTGGGGCTGACTGCGCCGTTACCCTCAAGTCGATCCGCAGATCGCTGAGAGATCGATCTCTCCAGGGAATCGGCAACGAGCGGAGATCCAGACATACCATTTTCGAGCTTCTGGCCAGATTTCGAACGGTCGTAGAAGATTTGCAGGGGCACTTCGAGCCCAAAGGTATCTACTTGGACCCCTTTGATTTTGCATTGCATGATGAGGCTGTACTGTTGCGACACTACAGCGCTGCAGAATGATGGCGGTAGGCCCGGCGGTATCGGAAGCACCATCGACACGGTAGCAAACACTGCGGAACCCAGCGACTGGGCTTCATGGTCGTCGACGTCGGCTTGATTGCTATGCCACCCTAGGTTGGAGTAAGAGATAGACGGGAGTGTGCGGAGCTCGTCGTGTAGCCTGATGCGTCCTGTCGTGGTTAACATGGTCTGCCCAGGCATCCTACTAAAAGGTGACATCGAGTAGAACGTCTTGATCCGCAGCGCTGGAGTGACACTGAGACGGATTTTCGGAGACAGTTCCAATAAGCGGTCTACGTCGGACCCTAACCGTGTGTCTGCCACAGTGACAACTACCTTGCAAGTAACGTTGCCGCGTGTCCTTCTGTTATCGAACCGGACGGGCGACGGCTCCGCACTAGACACTGTTACCAAGAATGTCTCTTTGCGAAATCGATTCGGCCGGCATGGATGGTAAAGCTCTTCGACAAACTCTGCAGGGAAGTCTCTGGTGTCGACCGGGGGGCTAGGAGCTGAGAACAACCAGATGGGTACCTCCTTGCTCCCGTAAATCGTCATTTGGTGACCACTACCAGACCGGATCTCAACATTGGCGACCAGAGAATATATGATCTTGGGTTGCGCGTAGTCAAGGCCACTGTTCTCGTCTTGCAATATAGCCCCAACTGTCATGGACGGTGGAAGTTGGAGGCATTGCTGAGGAACGTTAGGTGCTTTCGTCAACGCGGCATGAGAAATTGAGAAAGCAAAGTGCGCAGACGTAGCTTTTGTGCCGCTCCCGTCTATTACAACTCTGCAGAAGTCGCGAGGGTCCAGTTGGTGTACTTGTGATAGGAACTGTTCTTTGTTACCGAAATCTACCCAAGAAGAGCATAACATATACTTTGTAGGCGAACAATTTCGGAACTGCCTGAATTTGACCGTCCTGATTATAGATCCTCGTGTGGATACGGCAGACACCCGCAGTGATTGTCACTATTTGAGCTTCAATTTGTTTGGGGACAATGCAAACGTACCTTCCAGGCTGATTCGGGCACGAGTGATTGTTATCGGGAGTGCGCTCTCAACAGCTAGACTGCCGCCCAGGTGATCCCCCGAAATCCAGTACTCATCCGAGGAAGATCCACCCTGGTTGGCTCGATTGCTCGAATCCACTTTGATCGATAGCCGCGCCAGCCTCTGTCCTGCAGCATCCTCACTCCAGCCGCTTGCCCTGCCGCGCAAACTGGCAAGAACGTCCGCAGCCAGACAGTTCTCAAACATAGAGCGTCCTGCCATCAGGGTGGCACCTATTGGGATGTGGTTGGCTTGGAAGCAATGTCTAGGGTCTTCGATTCGAGGCGTTGCGGCTGTTGGTCTGTTCTTTTACTTACGCCTGAGACGAAATGGTTCACCAACTGTCCTTATTAGTGCCGAGTTGAAACTGGTCGACACCCTCAGATGGATTAGTAAAGCGACACAGGTCTAGAACTTAAAGGACTCTTAATCCTACAAAGGTCATGTGGCTCCGGGTATTCGGCTTTGGAATTGCATATTCGATAATGGAATGGAGGCAAGCTTCCCAAGGCCTCAGAAGGCAATGGCAGGTGACACAGCTGAGCGATTAGTCACCGGGGCATTCTGTTTGGTCCTCGAAACTGGGCCAACCGGCACTCTGATTTCCTCGACGCGCTAACCTGGCTGGTCTTCGCCTATCGCAGATTCATTTCGATCGAGGCCCCGTCCAGTGGTGAGTGAGTGTCATCGAGATTTTCCAACGCTCATAAATCGGCAGAATGGAAAGGCGCCAGAGGAGAAAGCCACTCTAGTAGAGAGCGCTCTACTCCACAAGAGCGGAAGATGTTGAACAATGAAGCATCGGCGTCAGAAAGAACTCAATAGTCAACTACTCATCCGAAAGCGGCGACGACTGGTGGAAAATATCGGTTCTATTTGGGTTCAGGTTCGCTCTTGCGACGAAATGCGCCCCGCGTCAAGGAGACACACCATCCAACCTGGATTTGCATCCTCAGGTCCGCAATCCTGTAGGAAGTCGCCCGTCACTGAGCGTTCAGCTGATTCGCACTTCACGCTTCTAGGCATGCTCACCTCACCCGGCTGCATTCTATATCGCATGCACCCTTCACTTCAACCATAAGTAGCCTCTTTAGTCGACCTTGACAAGCGGCCACCTGAGCGCCGCGCGGATTCAACCAGCACGCCTTTCCGAGATGATCGTTTTGACCTGCAGTTGAATGGCACGACTAGCACCGGCAGCCACCAACGGGCACGAATATGGTAGCTGGTGCGGAAACCCCCAAGACTCTTCGGGCTTCTGTAAACTATTTTTCTAGCGGTTAAATCGAACTGTCCATCTTCTCGAACAGTGCTCCGTGGGAGATGTTACAAGCACTTGCCGGTGTGCATCCCAGCTCTTCCCGAAGAAGTTCGAGGCTTGCTTGAGCTCTGAATCCGCCAAGAATCGCAGCTGCGTCTTCGCAGGACAACGTGTCTTTTGTCGTGGTGGCCATGTGTTTCGACCCTGGTGCGGCCTCAACTACATCAGGTTCCTCTTGGTTGCTAAGAGGTGCAGCTTCTTCATGGTCATTCCAAAGCGCCAGATTGGCTGATAGCCTAGCCGCATCCACAGGCGTGGCATCAACAACTTCGGCCTGTTCCCCATACCGACTGTCGCTCATTGTTGAGGAATCTTGTGACGTTAGCGTATGGGAACGATCACTCTTCATCGCTGGGAGAGCCGTTTCGAGCAAACGGGGTGATGTGGTGGCCGCGGTCGATACTTGCTGGTAGTCAGCAGTTGTGCCTCGACTGGGTAGTTCTTCGGAACGTGTAGACTGACGGTCGGTGCTCGGGAGGTTGTGCAGATTTAAGTCGACCCGATTTCTCATCTCGCGGAAGATTTGGTCGTCGAGTGCCTGAGAATCCAAGCCAAACTCGCTCTGTATCAAGTGTCGCAGCACTGCATTTTCCGCGAGAACAAGACGGGCTGCATGTTGAACCCTTCGAGTGGCAGCGACCCCTTCCCGCTCGTACTGCTGCAATTTTTGTTCCAACTCGGCTACATATTGTTTTCGCCGCGAGCGAAAGTTACGTTGATTGACCAGATTTCGTTTCTTCATTTCCCTTGGGGAATTTTTTGCGTTGTCTGCAGGTGCAGTCTCCATGTGTCTCTCGCCGACACCGACCGGAGTGGCCTAATATAACGTTTGGTTGGAAGGATGTTTTGCAAGATTAAGGGTTTTTGGTTTGTTCATGTCGTTATGTGTCGCTGCACAAAGCGAACTGCGCAGCATGGGCTTTGTGAACAGGGATTGCAAAGAAAAGAGAATTGCATGGGCTTGGTGGTTGCCGGCGTGGCAAAGGTGATGGTGATGGTAATGGGGAAGAGCGTGGAAACTCTTGATGTAGGCTGATAGGTCGGTGGGTTGAACCAGCCAAGAGGCGCAGTTGGCGCTGTATGATTGGGTCGGGCTACCGCTTGATTCTCGGGTCCGGCCACAGCTCACGTTTCAAGTTTCAGGCTTTTTTGTGCCCCGAGAGCTAACAGCTCTTGGCAGAGAGCAACAGATCGTCACACGAGGGATGACGTCTCAAACTCAAAATGATGATTGACGACCAATTCTAGATGGTGGTTTTTCCTGTTTCTCTTGTTTCTATGCGCTCGGTCTAGAATCAGCCCACTCAACTCCTGCATCTCACTGCTCAGAACGTGTGCCATATGTCAATCTCAAGGACAGTCTACTCCAACGCGTTCGGAAAACCGATCAGCAAAGAGTCCAAAGTGCTGACGCATTATGAGAGTGTACTTGATGAACTCCTCAGCACAATCGACGACACGATCGCGATTTGAGCCAGGTTTCATGCGGAACATGCCATCTTGGTCTTCTGATTCTTCAAAGAGGGTGTATGCTTGTGGTACTGATGACTGGTTGGGTATAGCAAACATGCGCATCCAGCGGCCAAGGATGCGTAGACTGTTGACGCTGTTGAAGGACTGTGACCCTCCTGAGACCATGGCCAGGCCAAGGGTGCGGCCCTGCGTTGGGCGCACGGAGCCCGTGCTTAATGGTATCCAGTCGATCTGATTCTTGAAGACGGCGGTGAGATTTCCGTGCTGCTCGGGGCTAATCCAGAAGTGACCATCGCTCCAGCGACTAAGGTTGCGTAACTCTTGCACCTTTGGATGAAGGTGTTCAATATCGTTCTTGACTGGTAGGTCGTGTGGGTCGTATACTCGAACATCGCAGCCTAGCCGAAAGAGTATACGGCAGATCTCGTAAGACAGAAATTTGGAGAAGGATCTATAATAAAGGGTCAAAAACAGGACTGCAATGCTGCTCATGGCTTCGAGTAGGTCCTACCTTTGGCGGAGACTTCCGTACAAAACCAATACTTTGGGCCGCGACAAAGTGTTCTGCAAATCCTCATATGCCATCTTTGTGACCGTGGCAAGCTCCAACGTGTTGACCCAGTCTGTCGACTCAGATTCTGTCGGCAGCAGATAAGGTCGATACCGTCTGCGAACCTCGGGGTCGTCGTCCTCGGCTGAAATTGCAAGCGACCGGTAGGCGAAATCTGGATCAAGAACAGGTGGCTTAGTGGCGCGCATTACTGAGACATTGTTGAGGTCGCCTTGGGAGGTTGCTAAAGTCATCATGTGCACTCTCTGGATGTGCTGCGACTGCAGTAAGCTGAGTCGCCCTATCGCTGACAAAGTTCTGACGTGAGGCATGAGCTGAACCTGTATTTAGCGGGCGGTACGAATATACAAGATCACAATGAGCGAAAGAGACGGCTGCAATGACAGTGTCTAGCTTCAGCGAAAGCAAGGCCCCGGGAGATTAGTCACGTGTCTAAGCAGTTTGTCACTCGCGGCCTATCATTGGCGGAACATTTCAAGCAACTTTGATTTTTGGCGTGAGATATTTTACTTCCGATGCTCCCTGGCGTGCTGGGCGCCACCGCGAAGCGTCCGTTGTCATACGGCAACCTCTAGTGCTGTCGCAGCTATGATTACCAGGCTCTTTCATCATATTCCTCT